AGGGAAGTGTGGTTCTTGGCCGGTTTAAAAATGAATAAGTTAAAATGGGCTTGCTCAGCCTGAGAAACCAAACCCACGGATGGCCTCGCTTTGTCCCCCTGAGCTGAACTGATGGGGAAGGTCACTGCTGATGTCCACTTCCGTTGAGCCAGCCACCGGGCTGCACAAGGATGCTTCAGGGAAAGGACTCACCAGGCCCACTCTTTACGGACCAGCCGGAAAGCCTTTGCTGGCTTTGCCTTAAGCCTGGACTCTTGATTTGTAATCGCAAAGCTTAGTTTTTAATCAGTTAGAACCTCTGATTGTATACATGTTGCCAAACCACATTTTATTGATTTTTGTGCCGTCCACTTGGTGTCACCTTTACCTTGGGAGGGTTCTAACCTTAAAGGTGGATTAGAAATAGTTGAGAAAGGCATGCAAATCGGTAGATTTTGTGTTCTCTCATTTTCTTACTTTTCCAGTCATCATTTGGTTCATCCCAAATGTTTCTCATTTTTAAAAAAAATAAAGCTTTCACGCACTTTTCTATGAATGCCTTTTTCTATGGGATGCTGCCTAATGCACAGAAGTTTGCAGGCAGTTTTTCTAATAGAAATACATTTCCCTAATATGCACATCTTTGATAATATTTTTCTTTGACTAGAAGACTCCATTGCAATTTTGGAAGAGTATGACTTTTGAAGGATAGCCGGCTTTCCATTCACACGTTTGAAAGGGCAAAATTAGAAAGCTTGTATTAAAATGCAAAGGAAGTTTTCTCCCTGGTGCTGGATTACTAGGGGCACAGAAGAAGTGGCTTGCATAAGCCAGGTAAGTGGTGAGCAAAATGTGTCAGGACCCATCCCGAATACGATTTGTGCAGCGTAGTGTGTGGCTGCAGCTGCAGCTGCAGCTACAGTTTTAATTGGCCTCTCCCACCGAAGGCAACTTCACTTCTTGGGGAGGGGTCTCTGGGAATATTTGAAGGTCATTTGGAGTTGCAGCTACCCCTGCTTTTTAATTCCTTCTCTGTCGCCTTATCGACACTGTTGTGGCAAAGAGCGTGAATCAAGTTATTTGGTGGGGCTGAGCATACCCCAGTCGAGTCCATCGCTTTCGAAGCCTGCTACCTTTGGCAGCTGAGGTCGAGAGTGCGGATCTGCAGGGCCTTGACAGAAGAGGGACTTAATGTTGTTTTCTCGCGTCCCTGCTTCCTCCTCCTCCTCCGCCCCCCTCTCGATAGCTGGAGATAATGGAGGAACTTTCGGAGATAGAGTTCCCGTGCATTACGCAGGGTAATGGCCAGATTTATGAACGTTGGCTCTGAAAGTGTTTTCCTAATGCTCTTTCGGTGATGGCAGCGACAGCACAAGGGCTGGGGTCGGAAGAAGGGGGCCGCTGCCTTCAGGGGAAGGAAGGACGCTCAGGGCCCAGGTGCGGCTTCTTTGCACCACAGAGGAGAAACTGGTTTATTCGCAGAGACTCTTTCAAGGTTGGCTGCTTAGAGGGGGTGTTGTGCTGGCCCGGCCGGGCCAGGGCAGAAGGCTGCATTTTGGAGCGCCCACCCAGCTTTCCCAGCCCCATGTCAGAGCCTGGGAAAATATCCGAAAGCTGAAATCACGCTGGAGCCCTTGGGCCCCCGCATGTGGCTCTATTTTAAGGTGGTCTCTTAGGAATCACCAAAAAGTTCTTTGTTCCCTCCGAGCTTAGCTGCAAGTCTCACAGCAGCTGTGTGCAAAGTGGATTCTACCCTTGATGTCGTGCGTGTGTGTGGTGGTGGACGGTTCCAAAGCATCGCTTGGTTGGGCTTATGTGGAAGAATCCTCCACCAACAGTCCCGTGCTGTTGGAGAAGTTGCCCGGCCCCCTCTCTCTTTTCCCATGCCGTCTCAGGCCTGGCCAGCCAAAGCCCAACGTGTGAACCCTGATCTTGCCTTTCACCAGCCCGCTTTTTGGCAGATGCTAATAAATGGAAGAATTGTGCAGAGGAGTGTGCGTGTGTGGAGTACATCTTTGGACAGGCGTAGCTCGACCGAGCTTTCTGAGTTCCAGGCTCCCCAAGCCTATGTGGCTACAGGGACTGCCATGACGAGAGCTTTGCCTTCTCTGTGCTTAGGGGGCACCCCTACTCTTGAAGGGGGGCAATTTTTTTTAGGCTGCTAACTTTGGAACACTTGGAAGATTGGGAGCCAGGAGTCAGATCATTTAAAGGCTGATTCGAGGAGTCCTGGCTCTTCGGAAATGCCCCCAAATCCTTCTGGAAAAGAAAAACCAGCTATTGGCACCTCTACAACGATTGAGTCACCACCCTTTTCTTCTCCATTATGCAGCATCTTTGAATCATGGAAAGAAACATAGGGTTTCATCTTCTGAAATGCAGGCTGCAGGACTTGAGAGCAGACTGCACCTGTGTTCAACTGAGCCCATCTCAACAGGAGAAAAACTGTGGGGCAGCCTCCCACCCCCGATGTTTCCTGTGCAGCTCTTCCTCTGACAAAAATGGGCCTAAAGCTCGCGTATGGGTTCAGGGGTTATTTCTCAGCTCTGGTTATTCTAAAGGGGCTTCCTCAGGAGACTGTCCCGGTGGGTTGTGGCCACAGCATTTCAAGGGACCAAGAAGTGTGGGAAAAGCAAGATTTTACTTTTGTTATCACAGTTCTGTCGGGTAAACAACTTCCTCCCTTCCCTAAATGCAAATTTTGCATCTATATTTGGCCTCTTTTTCCCTTCCCACAGCCAGGGTTCAAAGGATGTTCTGCTTTGAGCTGTTGTTTAGGGAATAGCATTTCAAGGGAAAGCAGTGAAAACGAAAAAGCACAGGGGAAGGCTTTTGATTAGCTTGATCACATTTCCATGCACCAGGTTTTGAGCTGAGGCCCTCTCAGTCCAGTCGTCAGCGCCTCGTAGTGAGTTCTTGCCCCACCAGCCCTGCAAATTCAGCTGCACTGTTAGCCCCTCGAGGGCCAGCCCGGACCCACCAGGCCTTACAAAATGCCAGCCTTAGTGTGTGATCTTCAGTCCACGTGGTTCTTCTGAGCCTGGCTTAGTAACTCCGCTGAGCTATTATTCTGACAGTTCGGTCAGAGATGCCCTGGGCTGGTACAACAACCCTGGCCTTGCTGCAGCACACAGATCTGATCTGGGCCGTGTGCATGTGCATTTGCAGAAGGGCAGCTCTTTGGCAAGGCCCAGGGTGCTGGCAAGGGAGCAGGGCAGCTCCGTCACGTCCTCTCCTCTGGTCCGCTTTGCCCAATTCCATTTGTAGCCAGACATGGTGTGGGGTGAGCCTGGGCAGTGCCTTTCCCCGTGAGGCTTTCACTGTGCCGCCATCGTGCACAGAATTTTACTGGCCACCGTTGTCTTCCGCTGGTGGGGCCCACATGTTCTTCCACTGCATATTCCACATCTTTCTTGCAGAATGGCTGAACAGCAATTGTCCCATCCATTCCTGCGTTTGGCCTTGTTGTGAGGAAGGGGTGCTCCCAGGGAAGGGTTTCTTTCTCTCCAAGGCCGCTAGAACTTGTCTCGACAATCAGGAGTAAGGCGAAGGAATCTGTGCCACTGGGCACAAGAACCTTTTCCCTGGAGATAAATGCTGCAGACAAACAAACAAACAAACAAACACTCTTAGTATTTTCATTGTACTTGGTGACCCCACTTAATTTTCCTCCATCTTCCGAAGGAAATTTGTGACAGGCTGTTCTGGACAGCTTGCCAAAAGCTGTTGAAAAACTGGGGAAACCAGATCATCTGGACATCAAAGCCGAGGTGTCCAGTGTTTTCCCCATTTAAAATAAAAGATGGAAGAGAGAGAAAGAACCCATCCAGTATTCTCATTACTTTCAGCTGAGCTTTTCCTGGCATATTTGTGCTACTGGTGACAGACTGTGCTTTTCTTTCTCTTGTTTTTCCTTTCAAATTTTGCTGTGTATTAAGTACATGAATTCCCCCCCTAATTCAATCCAGGCTCTAAATATCGTGCTGTCTGCTTATGTCAGAGTCAAACACAAAGGTATTTATGGTTTTGTCAACAGTTCGTGGGAGCTTGAAGGAGTTGTGGTTTTCCACATGTCTAGAACACAACAGGGATGCTCTAAGAAATCACGTTAGTTGCTGTGAGTTTAAACGTTGTTCTTCATAGAACCAATGCATGGGTTTGTGGTGTGTGTGGGCCTTTTTCTTCACGAGGATGTGTTGCGAGCACGGGTAGAGTGGGCTTGCAAGGTTACCTGTCCTCTTTTGGCACTGTCCTCTATGCCACTCCTTTGGTGTGGAGTATAACCTCTTTGTCATTGTACCATAAAACCTATTAACTTGCTGCTGCCTCCATTTCTTCTGAGTTGGCCGAAGCCAGGAGAAGACACTCTGTGCTCGTGTATGTAGCGACTTAGCAGTGTTTGGATGGGGCTGAAGAAATAGAGGAGAAGTGTTGTTCTAGACAACCACAATCGAAGTCAAAACACCCCACAATCTCATGTATTTTATTTATTTATTAAAACATATATCAGGTTCTGCCATCTCTCCTGGTAACATGCCTAGTTTTAGAAATGCAGGATAGGACTGCACCACGTTACATGTTTCCCCACTTTTGCTCGGCATGCTAGATTCCAGTCGCAAGGGGAGGGGAGGGGAGGGGACACTCACTGTGAGAGGCCAGCATGGGATGTGCTCCCACAGTCCCACGGCATGGCAGGAGTGGGGACGTGCCGTGGGGACTTGGGGGCAGGCGCTGGCTGGCTCTGCTTCCAGTGGAAGGCACTTGGAATGGTGGGAGAGGCGATCCTTCGCTGGGAAGGCGAAGGCTGTTGTGGAGTGCCCGCCTAGTGCCCTCCAGCTGTGGTGGGCTGCAGCGCCCGTTCATCCCGTGGGCATGCTGGCATGGGAGGATCGGGGCCACTCTCCCGGTCAAGGGGGAGCGTGGTAAGAGAAGCCGTTTCTTCCCACAACCTGGAGCGACGGACGTAGCGGAATAACGGATGGGCGCGTGGCTCACCAGCTGCTCTCTCTCCCGCGACACAGGTGCTTGTGAGTGAGGACTCGGACAGCGATGGCATCGTGGCCCACTTCCCTGCCCACGAGAAGCCCATCTGCTGCATGTCTTTCAACCCAAGCGGTAAGTGCTTCCGTTGCCGGCCTCCTCCGTCGTCGAGCTTGCTGCCCATGCTGGTCTTGGCTTCCACTACCAAGACACTCAATGGGGTCCCAAGTTGCCGTCTTGATGCTTGCATGCGCATTAGTCCCCAGAGCTACAGACAAGGCGATGGTCAGATTTGGGCTCGGGAGACCTACCAAGCCATCATATTCCTGTCATCACACCTTGTGCTTGGATTGCGTGTAGACAGAGCCCCTAGTTGTGGGTTAGGCCCAGGCGGGTGGCGGGACAGAGAGAGAAATAAGAGGAAGGGAGTCAGAATACTCTCACCTTCTTAACTGTGCTTTAGAGATCAAGAGCACTGCATCTGTGCTGGATCAAGATTTTACAGTCAATATCTGTAGGAAATAGGCATTAATGTGTCTGAAAAGTAAGGTAATAGGAGGTTTCCTCATCCGTTGTATTTCCAATTGAAATGGAGGCTTCCCCCCCAAGCCCACCCCCAGATGCACCAAGATTATTTCTTGAGGTTTGTGCAAATATTCTACCAGATTTGACACCACTTATCCTTTTGCACTTAGTGCTTAACCTGGAGACATGACTTGGATTTCTTTCTTAGTCTATTTTTTCAGGTGGGGGGAGGGATTTTTCTGAAAATGATATTTAAACCCTCAAAAAAAGCACCTTTGCCCCTCTTCTTCCTACTATCAGCTGAATAAGGCTTGTGGGCAGGTAGAATGCATCCTGTCCATGCAATCTTGTCCAGTCGACAGGGCAACTTGTTTATTATCCTTCCTACGACAGAGTAATAACTTTTTGATTGACTGCATGGCGGTCAGCAAAAAGGGGCCGCAGAAGATCAAGAGCTTCCGCTTGCCTAAATTAATGAGTTCTAAAGTGAATTAAAATGCCTTGAAGAGGTTTGGGATGAAATCACATTTCAAAGAACGAAAAATGGGATGAATGTCCTATCTCCTGCTCGCAATGACTGGTCGGACTTTCGGATGGCAGCCCATCTGTTAAGTCAGAACTCCTTAATAACCACACACGGTTCAGGGCTTTGCTTTTCTTAACTACTTTTGACAGGGGGAGAAAAAGCAAAGTTTTATTGTAGCATTTGGAAGCTCTGCTCTGGTGCAGCCCATTCCTGAAGCCTGCCTCGCTGCCACAGTCTCAGACAACCTCACAAAAAACAAAAAATAGCACTCCATGCCTCCCGTGGCCCCCAAATCACTAATTTGCTTGTCCAGAATATGTACATGTACCAAGGGCTTGTGGCCCATCAACTGCGTGAAATGGGAAGAAAGAGCAACTTTTCTCGCAAATTCTAAAAGCCTGGTTACCTGGGAGTGATTCCTGTCCACCAAAGGCGGTTGGGAAGCAAGTGGCCATTTATTGCACTGGTACAGAATGCATGCTGAAGCAAAGACAGATGCTTCCACATCCCATTTTAGTGTATCAAGAGCAAAACTTGTCCTGTCATGCTCCTTGGACTCCCTGAGGAGAGAAGAGGGAAGAATTTTGCCATGCCCTGCGTCCCTCTTAGTATGACAAGGTTGGTTTGTGGAAGAATTTGCGAGAGGGCAAGCTGATCTACCCAGCCCCTCCAGAGATGCTGGCTTTGACCTGGGCTGGCCAGGTGCTCCCTTTTGCAAGGGCAAGGGTGGCCAGAGGGCCTTTCTCTGCTCAGAGGCATCCTACTTGAGGAAGGGGCTCGCATGTCCAGTTTCAAGCTGAAGACCCCTGAGATTGGCAGCCTGTGCCTAGTTAGCACCCAGACAGCAGACGCAGCAGGGAGGTGCCAAAGGTTGCCTGGTCATATGCCAAGATCTAATGTATTTCTGTTTAAAATAGAACTATTGTTTCTAAATGTGCGCTTATGCACATGAATTAGTCGATGCAACTTTTCTGACAACCTGCGTCCCCAGGTTCTTGATGGTGCCAGTCTTCTCTTTTGGGCATTCTAAAACGGCCTCCCTGCTTGACTGTGTTCCCCCACACCCTCTGAGCAAGGATTTAGACCCAGCTCTGCCCTGAGCTCATCCTACCATATTCTGGCTTTTGCCTTATCTAAGGCCACCCCATGAACCTAACGGTGATTTGGCTTGTCATGGATGCCTGATCCAGGTCCCAATCCCATAGGACTGTTCGCCTGTTAGAAGTTCCATCAGGAAGGAATTAAGCTGGGAATCCTTCCTCATATTTAAAGAGGACTAAACAGTTTACAAATATCACGGATGCTACAGTGACATCTGACCTATAAATGTAAATCCGCAAGTGCTACTCAGCCGAAGGCGCCTCGGACTACGGTTTGGGAGGTCGTCACAGACGGAAGGCATCTCCAGCATAGGGGCCCAGTGATTAAGATGTTTATGAACTGGCCTCCAGGCTCTTAATGTTGTACATGACACTCTGCCAGGAATTCTAAGTGTGTATAATCTCGATAACAGGAGGAGGAGGGAGGGGATTAAACGGTTATCCAGTAGAATCAATTGCTCCATCTTAAGCCAGACTAGACTAAACCGGCTCTTTGTCTAGTCTCTGGTTGCAGGAGCTGGGCGAGCGACTCCGGCATGACTGAGTGCATGTTATTAAAGCCCCCTTCCAATTTAGGTAGGAATTGAGCGAGCTGCTGGGCTAATAACTCCCAAAGTTGCCGAGCTAATTGGGCCTGTCCCATCTGCTCCCGCCGCAGCTGGTTTAATGGACCCTTGGCTTTTATGTGGCCTGCGTGGGCTGAGCTATGCTGGGAATCCTCCACAGCTCGACTGACTTCCTGGTTGGCAGAGGGCCTTCCTAAGGTGCAAGAGGGTGGCCCTGAGAGGGCCTGCTGCAGTGGCTAGGGCTCCTCCCCCAAATGCAGTGCCCATTTCCACCCAGCGGACAGTCAGGAGGAATACGAGAAGGTCCTTGTGCTGCTCGCCGCCCACCGGCGGTGGTTCCTCACGGATCGGTGTCGTGCCTGTTGGCACTCAGGTTTCCGTATCCGGTGCTTTTGGGGTGCTGGCGGCTGATGTCGCAGTGGCCCTCAGCTCTGGCTTGAGGGAGTCCTGCAGGCGCCAGGAGCCTTCAGCTGAGGAGCAGGGCTGTGGCCACAGAGCAGGGTCCCCAGACACGGTCACGCCGTGGCATGTGCCAAAGATCACATGCACCTTTGGCGGCATTCGGAATTTAATTTCTCTGCAGGACGTTGCCTGCGACGGCAGAGCACGAATCTCACACAGCAGGGTACCCCACCTTCTTAGCATTTCCCCACGACTATTTAATTTGATTTAATTTATAAAAAGTCCTTTCTTTCCCAACCTGATACCTTGGGTCTTGCGAGGTTTATATTGACTGGGTGCACAGCCTTTATGAATAGACCGCACTGAAGCCTGTTTATATAATGCCATTAGCACTTAGCTGTTAGCAATTATACAGGCCCTGCTAAACTATTTTCATAGGCTGTATAATAGGGCTCTTAAAAGCAGCACACCTACTTGTTAAGAAGGTATTCCAGTGCGTTTTGAGAAGTCCATAAAACATGGGCATAAAGTCTACCTTTTTATGCCCTGTGTGCGGGAAGGTGGCGAAGAGCAGGAGCCACGTATCCGTGCCACGTCTGCCCAGTAAGTGGCACTTGGGAAAGCTGGTGGTTCTCCCAGCCTCTTAGCTGCAGTCTAGATCAGTGCTGGCCAGCTGTAAAGGGCTGCTCTGGAGATGACTGGGAAAGGCCGAGAACACTTTGCAGCCCGTCATATGAGAAAGCGCTCAGATTCTCCGCCTCCTGTTGTGTGTTTTCTCCCCTCCTGATTGTACACTCTGTGCAGAGAGTAAATGAGGTTGGCTTGGTGGGCCGACGGTTCCGATCCAGTGTGGGGCGGCCACCCGGGGAGCACCTCTTCTCACCGATGCCTCCACAGGGCCAAAAATGCGAATGTGTATCACATTTGCATATGCTAACCCGCAGACCGATGCAAGATTCTTTAATGTAAATAGAAATACAGAACGTTCCAGTGCAGAGAAGACTGCTGAGGTGTCTTCATGCCCACTGAGGCTGCTTTCAAGGCGTTAACTGGAAGGACACCTGCAAGTGTCTTCTCTCCCTCCTTACGGACACTCAGCTCGAAACCGGCCTTAAACAGGATGGACCACAAAGCAGAGGACACCTCCAGGCAGAGGACTGTCCTCTGCCAGCTCTCCAAAGCACAGGGCCACCTTCTGTGAAGCAGGATGCCCAGCCCTCGTACCTGTTCTGAGCTTCCCTATGAAAAGAGGGACCTGCCATTTATATTTCCCACCCTGCTCAAGGGCGACGCTGCATTAAAAGGGAGGCTTCCGGGAAGGGGAGTGCCAAAAGAAGGCCCGTCTCTATGAAGCTCCCCTCTATCCTCGGCTGGTTCAGCCCTTGGGGAAGAAGACAGCCCCCTTCAGCACCGAACTTCTCTCTCTCTCTCTCTCTCTCTCGCAGACCGGAAGTGCGCAGCCCAGCAGCAGGGGCAGGAGGGCGACCGCAGCCCTCCTGGCCGCTTGGCATGCAACATGCTGCGTGCGGGATCTATTCGTAATTAAAGGATGCCATTAAAATGCTGTTGTGAACTGGCCAGTCCGACAGCTGTGTCGAGTTTGTTTTTCAATTTCCCACTGCCTTTCTTGTTTATTAGCTGTGACTCTGAGGTCAGAATTAAAACAAACATTTTAATGGCAGCATTTACCACATTGGCAGCGGGCACCCCTGGCTCCGCGCTGTGATCTGGCCTGGGGACTGTATGGGTGGCGCGGGCCAAGCCCCCTCCCCAAGACTTTAAATACTGGTGCAACTGGAGCACCCCCCCCCCCACTGCCACCCCGGGTACAGTGCTTGTAAATCAAGTCGCTGATAAGAATCGCACAACCTGGGCTTTTTGGTTTTGTTGGAGGAACTGGCTGTGCTTATTATTTTTAGGGGGTTGGGGGCGGGGGATAAATGTGGATGTTAGCTTTAAAAAACAAAAAAAAGCTTACAGATTTGCTTTGACAGATCCCAAAGTTTTGCGAGGCTT